TATGTTAAACAGCCTCTTTCAACTTTTTAGCAAAATATCCCGCTGCACATTTTCTCTTGCCGGACGATTTTTGTCGACATGTAACAGCAAAGTTGCCGATAATGACGCTAGTATACACGTGTTGTGATACAATACGTTCAACAACAAATATGAGCCATATTAAATAATATAAATGAAAATAGCATTACAAAATCTCTTAATGTAATTCTCAACTGGATTTAATTCGTAGCTACGTCAGGGGTGTTTCTGAGCGACATTGGGAAACCTGAAGATAGAATTCGAGCGCGGCAATGGAGCGGCGGTGGGGCTGTGGGTGCGCCAAAGTTGCCGGGGGCAGGCAAGGACACTGGCATTGCTGTTAATCGCAGGAAGCTTGGATAGCACACGGCAAGGACTGATCGGGATGTGTCGATGGATGGATGGATGGATGCCGAAGGCAGCGGCGGCAGGAGCTCGCTGGTATGGAAGGGCGGGAACGGCGAGCCAACTCGAGCAGGACACGGCAGGCTGGATCGGCATTGCAGCAGTATGCAAGGCCACAACGGCTGGACGTCTCGGTCATGCGAGCAAGAGGAGCTGGCGGCAACGGGGAAACCTTCACTTTCCTTAAACATTCTCTCTTGCGCGTGCCGGCCTCCCCTAATTTTGAGAAAACCTCGAGTTTATATAGACATGGGGGTAAGGGTTTTCTCTCAAGATATCACTTTCCTTACCTTCTTAATTTGGACCAAAAGAGTATGTCCATTACTTCTTATTCTAATGCGCAGTTAAAATTTTCAAGGATAATATTCTTATTTCCCCCCAATCTTGATCGGATAATGTAACGTTTCCTAAATTTGGCACTCCCCACGTGCATAGCACAAGCAATCTATTTTCGTCCGGTAGGGAAGATTAAAGGCTTGGTCGAATTTCATGGGACCTGCCGCCTTAGTCCGGATAATTTAATTAAGCTCGGGGAGCCTCTTCTAATTAAAACCCATTCGGCATTGGCCAATTAGGCTGCGAATGATAACCATTATGCTTCTCTATTTCTGGAACAGAAATAGGTTTGGAACATAAATCCGTTTGGTAACGCAATTTCATTTTCTATTTCTGGAACAAATTTTTGAAACAAAAATAGGTTTGTAACATATATCAGAAGTAAAAAAATTTTGCTAATTTTTGTGCCAATTCAGTCATTCCGGCTAATTTTTGCATTGGTGCCAATTGAGTAAAAATTCCGCTTACAAAAATAAACGAACGAACAATATTTAGGAAAAGTGTCAAAAAAGTCCTAAATTTTTTGCATTGGTGCCAATTGAGTCCTAAACCTTTTGTCTTTGTGCCAATTCAGTCATTCCGGATAATTTTGGCCGGATTTTGCTGACGTGGACGCCGGCGCTGACGTAAACAACTTTTAATAATATTTTAATATTTTTTGAATTATTTATTTATTTATTTTCTTTTTCTTTTTTTTTTTCCTCCCCTCCCCCCTTCCTCCGGCCGGTTGCCGGGCTAATGAGGTTCGCCCTCACCGGATCTGGCGAGGGTCGAGCCCGGGCTCGCGCGTAGGCCGGTGAGGTTAACCTCGCCTAGTTGTTGGCGAGAGCGAGGGCGAGGGCGAGCGAATCGCCAATGGAGCGGCGGTGGCTCACCGAGTGGGCCGCCAAGGTCAACCTTGCGAGGCCTCGGACACCTTGCATTGCTGTGGTCGCGAAGCTTGGACTAGCAGACGGCAAGGAGGGATCGGGATGTGCGAAAAAAATGGAAAAATGGAATGGATTTTTTTAAAAAATTAAAAAAATATGGAAGGGCGGAACGGCGAGCCAACTCGAAGAGCAGGACACGGCAGGCTGGATCGGCATTGCAGCAGTATGCAAGGCCACAACGGCTGGACGTCTCGGTCATGCGAGCAAGAGGAGCTGGCGGCAACGGGGAAACCTTCACTTTCCTTAAACATTCTCTCTTGCGCGTGCCGGCCTCCCTAATTTTGAGAAAACCTCGAGTTTATGTAGACTTGGGGGTAAGGGTTTTCTCTCAAGATATCACTTTCCTTACCTTCTTAATTTGGACCAAAACAGTATGTCCATTACTTCTTATTCTAATGCGCAGTTAAAATTTTCAAGGATAATATTCTTATTTCCCCCAATCTTGATCGGATAATGTAACGTTTCCTAAATTTGGCACTCCCCACGTGCATAGCACAAGCAATCTATTTTCGTCCGGTAGGGAAGATTAAAGGCTTGGTCGAATTTCATGAGACCCGCTCCTTAGTCCGGATAACTTAATTAGCTCGGGAGCCTCTTCTAATTAAACCCATTCGGCATGTGATAATTTTACCATGAATTAATAATCATTCTTCTTTATTTCCGGAATGAAAATAGGTTTGGAACATAAATCCGTTTGGTAACGCAATTTCATTTTCTATTTTCGGAACAAATTTTGAAACAAAAATAGGTTTGTAACATATATCGAAGTAAAAAAATTTTGCTAATTTTTGTGCCAATTCACTATTCCGGCTAATTTTTGCATTGGTGCCAATTGAGTAAAAATTCCGCTTACAAAATAACGAACGAACAATATTTAGGAAAAGTGTCAAAAAAGTCCTAAATTTTTGCATTTGTCCAATTGAGTCCTAAACATTTTGTCTTTGTGCCAATTCGCTCATTCCGATAATTTTGGCGGATTTTCTGCACGTGGACGGCGCCGACGTAAACAACTTTTAATAATATTTTAATATTTTTTGAATTATTTATTTATTTATTTTCTTTTTCTTTTTTTTTCCTCCCCCCCCCTTCCTCGAGGCCGCCCTCATTTGGTCGCGAGGTCGCCCTCACCGATCCGGGCGAGGGTCGAGCCCTGGGCTCGCCCGGGCCGGTGAGGTTAACCTCGCCCAGTTGCTGGCGAGAGCAAGGGCGAGGGCAAGGGCGAGCCTCGCCAATGGCTGGCGTGGCTCACCAGAGGCCGGCGAGGTCAACCTTGCCGCCTCTCGCCTTTGGCCTCTTGTCCGGTCCGACGACCGGCTAGAGGAAGGAGGGAGGAGGAAAAAAAAAAGAAAAAAAGAAAAAAGGAAAAATAAGTAAATTTTTTTAAAAATTAAAAATATTAAAAGTTGTTCACATCGCCCCGCCACGCCACGTAGGCTAGTTCGGCATTCATGTCAGCAAAATCCCGCCAAAATTAGCCTGGAAGGACGATTAGACAAAGACAAAAGGTTTATGACTCAATTCACAAATGCAAAATGTTAGGACTTTTTGATACTTTTTCCAAATATTGTTCGTTCGTTTATTTTTATAAGCGATACGAGCGATCATCTTTAAGGAAAATATATTCCAAATTATTCATTTTCCGCGAAACAAACGTAGCCTAAGTAAGATGACTAGTACTTTATTTGAGTGATGAAACAAGTGAGAATCGTGCATTAAAAATAAATAACTTGTCTATCCAACATGCGGTTGCTACATCATTTAGCAAAAGCTTTGATCATTTGACCCGCGAATGGCTTCATGCTTTGTCTTCCTTCGAATGGATAAATATGTACAGGTCGCTATGCACAAGTTAAGAAAACGGTAATCGCTATGAGTTTTGGTTTCAGCTACAAGTAAAACTTATGTTTGATCTATCTGCTGATATAACAATTGAAGATCAAGAGCATTGCTTTAATCACGACCTTCAGTAGAAGAATGGCCGCATTATCGATGTATCAAGCTAGGACTCCCGTTGTTGGGTGAAGCCTTGTTGTCTTTTTTTCATCGAAGAGCAAAAGACTAATTAAAAATAAGGTTAATACCATGAAAAATTTCAAATTTATACACCTGTGACAAATTTATCTTAAATTAATCTTTTAACCACAAAAAACCTCAAATTGGTACATTTGTGATAAATTCACCCTTCGTTAGTCTCTGTTTAATTATAATAATACCACGAAAAATTAAAAACCGGTACACTTGTGACAAACAGAGGGTAAAACCCCAAACTCGTGCACTCGTTAACGGCAATTTAACGATAAAATTTAATGAAAATTAATGGAGGGTGAATTTGTCACATCTACCGGTTTGAGGTTTTTAGTGGTCAAAACATTAGTTTAGGATAAATTTGTCACACGTGTACCGGTTTGAGGTTTTTGGGATAATGGAAGATAGGAATTGTGTATATTTCGGTATATCAAAATGAAGAGTACATCAGCCTATTTATAGGCTCTATGAGATGACTATCTAAATTAACATATATCAATAAGGATGTATATATGTATACACAATCTTGAGAGATACATAAAATCAACATAATTATTGAATATCTCTAACATAGGATAATACCCTAGAAAAATCTCTAATAAAGATTACGTCTATAAAAACAATTTAGGCATCATTGGAGATTTTTCAGCACAAGAAAAAGAATGAATAAATTTTCATCATCTCCATCTACTATCTCGTCTGGTGATATTTATGAAGTTCTGACTAATCTCATATTTTCCTCATGGGAAAATGATACAAACAGTCCATGAACTTTGGCCTAATGTGTAATTTGGTCCATGAACTTATAATTTGTTCAATTTCATCCTTGAACTTTTGGTACATGTTCAATTCAGTCCTTGAACTATATGAAAATGTTTAATCTAATCCTTCCATTATTTCAAGTTATGGGACTACATTGAATATTTTTATATAGTTCAAGGACGAATGTATCAAAAGTTCAGGGACCACATTGAACAAATTAAAAGTTTAGGGACTACATTGAACGTTAGGCTAAAGTTTAAGGATTACATTAAACAAAATAAAAGTTCAGGAATCGAATTGCACATTAAGCCAAAATTTAAGGACTGTTTATATCATTATCCCTTTCCACGTCCAAGCATGGCGTCTGGGTTTTAATCAAGGACAGCGTGGCACAGTCAACACCGTCCCTTTGGATCATCTCAGTCGGGTTGCGAGCCCATCTCGGCCCGTATCCAAGTTTTCCGGGTCGGGTGGGTTCCGTTCCCGTCGGACCCTGCTTCTTCTTGAATCGATTTCGATTTCGCCCATCTTCTTCAAAACCTCAGCGATGTGTGAGAGAGAGAGAGAGAGAGAGAGAGAGAGAGATCGATCTCTTGTGGCATCTTCAAGCGTTCGCGTTCGTCGTCTTGGTTTTTGGGAGTTGGGAGGAGAAGAAGGAAGGAAGGAAGGAAGGAAGGAGATGGGAGAATGTTACTCGTACCCGCCGCTATCTTTCGAGCCTTCGGAGCTGCCTAGGGTTCGGAGGCCTAAGAGACAGCCGATTAAGGTTCGGATCATGCTTCCGATGAGCATCGTATGCAAAGCCTGCGGGAATCACATTCGCCAGGGGACCAAGTTTCATTCCAGGAAGGAGGAAGTCGTCGGCGAGGTGGGTGCACTTTCCGTTTTCCGTCTTCCACGTTCAAGTTGTGTTGATGATGCTTTTTGGGGGCGGTGTTTCCTTATCTGTGGATTTGTTGATCACTTTGTTCTCTTCTTTGGTGTTTTTGCAGATGCGCTTGGGGATCCCGAGATTCAGGTTTTACTTCAAATGCACCAAGTGCTCTGCTGTGCTCACCATCAAAACCTATCCGCAGCAGGATCCCGATTCCGTGGTGGAGTCTGGGGCGGCGAGGGTAGAAGATTCTGCCTTTTGAGTTGTTGGGGTTTCTTAGAGTTGGTTAGACTTTGGGAAGAATCGAACGTGACTTGTTGTGATTTTCTATTTTGTGGGTTTTGGGCAGGTGGTGGAGGAGAATGAGAAAAGGAGGAGTGAGGCTGGAGAGATGGGCCATGTCATCAACCCCACGTCCGATTCCAAGAGAGAGATGGATATTCTCAGCGCCGCGCCTGATGAAATCAATTCCATGAAGGGTAAGTTATTTTGAACTTTCCTGCATTATTTTCTCTGTTGTTTGGTTTGTGCAGTAGTCCCTGGACTGATACTGTTACTGATATTTACTATACTCTCGAGGTCAGTAATGCTCTTATTGTCAGTATATTCGCTTCCTTGTCAGCTACCTCGAAGCGTGGGAGTCTTTTATTAGAACAGTCTCGAATGTGTTATGCATAAGTTCTGGCTGAGCTGGTCATTTTGCTTAATAATAAGGTGCCCCGTGTATCAGTTTGTAGGATGCATATGGTACTTTAATGTACGTATATTCCATGGATATATCTAAAAGTTTGAGCTCGTTTGAAGATACTCTATTGCAAATGCCCTGTTTTTGTTAACATCAATCCCTGATTCACTATGGATTGAGTTTACAATCGTCTTGCTTTACTTGGTGTATCCACGGTAAGGTCCTGAAAGTTGTCAAGTAATTTTTCATTACTCCTTACTCTTTGAAGTTGATGATTCTTCGACAACATGCAAATGTGTGACGACACACATGACACGGCATAAGCACGTAAGGTGACATGGATTAAGCAAAGAAAAGCATGCTATCCAGATCAAATCCTCAATGCATATGCATCTAATGCAAAAGACGAGCCTGTTAATTGCCGAGTACCTGCATGTATTTCCAACTCTTAATGCAAGTATCTGCCAAACTTCTCAGAAACAGCATGGTTTACTGGTTTGCTGATTTTTTATGCACTGTCGATAAAACTGATACTAACTTGATTCGATAATAAGGAAAGGTGGACGTGCTTTGTTGGTTTAGATTGTCTTCCATGTGCTTTCTTGAGTCTACTCAAAAGAATTATTAGTGTCGTTTGAATCTCCCCTCTACCTAAGATTACATATTACCAAGCTGGTTTCTTTTTCTTCATGTGATTTGTTAGGATATTTTTGCAGGCGTTTTAGATCCGATGCGAGTGTAAGTTGTTGATTTTATTGGAATTGTCTTTTGCTGTTGAGGGCCTAGAGAATAGCTTACTTATATGCTGGTTTGATTTGAAATGCAGAAGAGAAAATTTTCTGAGGAATCACCGGACAAGCCAACAGATTCCTTGACAAAAGCTACTACCAGTGACATCTCCAATGACAGAGGTATGTCGCGTTTTTCGAACAATATTTCCTTTGATTACGTTAGCTCTCCTTGGTTGGGATTTATGGTGTCTAATGTCTGTCTGAATGATGGATGTGTGGAAATAGATAGGCTCGGCACTTCGCTTTCCCTGCAAGTGCTTTGGATTGTATTGAATGCAATCTCCCTTCGTGGAAGTAGACTTGACTTTTAGAAAGTAACTTTTTCCATGTGACGGCGGTTGTTTCGGTGAGCTTTCTGGTCAGGTTTCCGTGTCTTTCCATCATGTTTGTGGTGTTTCTGTTTTCCGTTGGGAATAGATATTGCTTGGTCGTTACATGGGGACCTATATTGTGTGGAAAGCATCTAAGTGATATAGCTCATGTCTTTGTTCCTTGTTCATTGACTCATAATTTTTGTCATGTTTAACAGGAAATCCCGTTGGATCACTGGAGCTGGGGGTCTAAGCAGTGATGACGGGGATTGAGTTGCAAAGGATGCCATCCGTTTTCTCGCTGTATTAGCTGAAAGCTTTTTTTTTATATCTGTCTGCGCTGTAATTCCTGACTGAAGCGGGGATCGATTATTAGATTAGCTTTCAATGGATAGTGAAAGGATGAGAGTATGGCTGTAGACTGCATCTTTGTGTTGACTCTTTAAACTGCTGATGGTGATGTTGTTGCGATTCAGGGCGAGTCATCCGAGCGAATTAGATATATATACTTTCAGGCACTACTGAGCACACTTCAAAGGTGCGTGGAACGTACGACGGAGTACTGCCCAATTGCAATTGACTAGGGGGAAATTTGTCTTTACAGAACCAAGTCACAAATAACGCTCATCGGCTCCAAGGAAAAAGAGTGAGAAATGGGCAATTGGCGTCGGCGATCCCATCCTGAGCGTTTCATAGAAATTTCATACCGATGACAGAATGTTCGATACCAAACGAAATTTTTTAAGCAAAATAAAAAAAAAAACATTTTCTTATAGAGAAAATGGATTTCTTCTGGAATTAAAGAATTAAAAAAAACACCTAAATAATTCAATCGAATGGGCAATCTCTCCTCCTGAGTCTGTCAATGGCTGCCTTATGATTTTTTAATTGATTTTCAGAGTATTTTTTAGGTATAATTATCACTGAAAGGCACGACTCATGCATGCAGGCCTTCCTCCTTCCATCCCTGAGCCCTCCATTTGGTAGAGGGCCGAGGTTCAATTCCACATGCACCTTTGCTAGAGGACTCGTGCGTATCCCAGCTCGGCATAGGACCGGGACGGCGCCCTCCTTACCCTGCCATTATCGAGCAGCATCTCGCTGCTCGACATGAAGATATTCAAGGGCTTTTTGGTGGATATTTAGAGGTTACCCGCGATGCATGTTGCGCTTAAGCAGGAACGGGAAGCCTCTTAATATGAGTTTCGAAAAATGCGTGCATATCCCGGATTCCTCACGAGCAGAAAAGTACGTTCGGATGAGGGAACTGCATGACACAAATCAGTAAGGCTGGAAGTGGGTCTGCGTACAGTGGAGACTATGAGGGTTGAGCTTGTTCAGGTCAATGGAGATATTAAGGAGCTTACAGGCGTGTATGGCAAGAGTTTCCTTCTTTTCCTGTAAACCAGATAAGGACTTATTGATGGAGTCTGATCCTTCTTTTTCTCTGATGGCTTTGCTGCTTTCCTTCCCCGTCCTTTTTCCTTCAGTTTTAGCTCCTGAATTTTCTCCAATCTTGCCTGTGGACTTACTTCCTGCAATCTGTTTTTCCTTTCTGATATCAAATTGCTTGATATTCATTTTAGCAAGCATTTTCTCTCCAACATACATTAGGGGAACAAAAGTTTTGCTCAATTCATTAGGAATATCAATTTTGAGGTAAATGAAAATCCTGTTGATTAGTGCACCATAAGGAAGTTGTCCCTTGTCTTTCAACAAAGTTCTGTACATATAAAGAATTATAACGTGAGGGAGAGAAAATGGAACTTCATTCAAGTTTTCCCAGATCAGCTTCACTTCAAATTTAGACAAGTCTATCTTGGATGATACTTTGGGCCTCAAGCAATTTATAATGATCTTGTGTAATATCATTATTTTCTTCGTCATATCAGAATAGGAGATATTTCTTTTTGAACCTCTAGAAAATTTGGATTTTTTGAGGTTGCCTTGGAAGCTTCTTCTGCACTAACCTCGATTGGAATAAATTGAGATCGTTTTACTCCAATAATGTTAGCCAATCTGTCATCTCTCAAATCATACTTCTTATCACCCATTGTAAACTGGAGCCAGTCAGGAGACAATGGATAAATTGGAGTAGAAATAGGCAGTCAGTTCAGCATACATGTGCAGATTGAAGACAAAATTCCTACATACCCAACTTTTCAAAGTGTTGTTTCACCATGATACCCACGCTTTCCAGATAGTCAAAATCAATGCTTCTGTGGCTCATAATTCTTCTGGATAGCAAAAGTTTGTAATACTCACGGTGCATATGATTTTTAAACATATTTCCATTTCCTTTTACTCCAAAAGTTCCTATACTCATATCAAAATTGTTGAAAAGTCTTGCATCATCATCCTCCATTATCTTTTCAAACTTAGATTCGGAGCCACTCTTGGACTTAGGGCTTGGAAAAATAGGTTTCTTTGAAATAGGATTAGATGATTCTCCCACCTTTTCTTTACATTTCCTTGATATACTCTCCTTCTGTTCAGGGCTAGATAGATTCTTTCTAGAATGACCGATTTCAGAATGAAACAAAGACTACATTTGCACAAGTTGTACTTCAAATCGAAAACCATTGTCTCTTAAGCATTGATTTAAGAGCGACTTAGATGCATTGCTATTCTTCAACTTTTCATAAGTTTTCCGGACAAAGTTAAGATCTTTAAAATGAAAGTCTGTTTTACCGGACGATTTTTGGGAAGATTGATGTTGAGATGCTTGAGGAGTTGCTTTTGAAGGTGCTTACTTGTCCGATTTTATCTCAGATGAGTCAGTGATCTCCATGTATTCTACACTTCTAGTCGACTTGGATTATCTGTTGAGAATTCTCGATAATCTTCTCTGATATGGCATGGTGATTCTCTGAGGTTTTCTTGAGAGGAAGGATTTGATTTTGGGTTCGAGGAGAAGCAAGGTCTGAAGACATTTGGGAATGAACAGATGAGATCCTTTTAGGGCTTTTTATAAAGGAGATGGTTTTTAAGAAAGAGAACCGCTTTTTGGAAGTTATAAATTGTGATCCAATTATTCAGGAATTTTGAAAAAAAATAGACCAAAATATTTTAAGCACACTCAATCAATCAGATAATAATATTTGATAAATGAGGATGCGTACCTGATTTTCTTCCAAAAATAAAATATGAATATTGCCAAAATTTCCTGCCAAAATAATAATATGCCTGCCAAAATTTGAAATAATGATCTTACCTTCCTTTTGGGTATGAGTAGAGCATTTAGACTTAGATAATTTGAGCCTGAAAAATTCCTATCTTTAAAAGATTATTCAAGCGAAATGATTAGTGATGCATAACTTATTACAAATAAATTCAAATGAAGATTTATCTAAAGGTTTTGTGAATATATCAGCTAATTGATTTTTAGAATCAATAAATTGAATATTCACATCATCATTCTGAACATGGTCTCTGATAAAGTGGTGCTTGATTTCAATGTGCTTGCTCGTGAATGAAGAATTGGATTCTTTGTCAGATTGATAGCACTTGTGTTGTCACATTTGATTTCAATACTTTATTCTTCTATTCCAAAATCTCATCATTATTGCTTCATCCATAGAATCTGAGAGCAACACTTCCTAAAGCCACATATTCTGCTTTTTCTGTAGATAGTGCAACTGTGTTTTGCTTCTTTAAGCACTAGGACACCAACATATTCCCAAGTAATTTGCATGTTCATGTAGTACTTTTCCCGTTCACTTTATAGCTAGTTAGATAAGCATCGGCATCAGAATAACCAATAAGAGTAAAATCTGATCTCTTTGAATACTATAGACCTAACATTTGATAAGTTCCAATGTATTTGATTATTCTTTTTACTGCTGTAAGATGTGATTCCTTTGGATCAGATTGAAATCTAGCATACATACAGACACTAAATAGTATGTAAGGTCGAGAAGCAGTAAGATATAGCAAAGATCTAATCATGCTTCTGTATAACTTCTGATCAATCTGTTTACCACTATCATCCTTGTCTAATTTGGACAAATGAGACATTGGAGTGTTTGTTTTCTTGCTGTTTTGCAATCCAAACTTCTTCACAATCTTTTTTGCATACTTGTCTTAGCAAATGAAAGTACCATCCTTGGTCTGTTTCACTTATAGTCAAAGAAAGAATATCAGTTCACCCATCATGCTCATCTCGAACTCGTTCTGCATGCACTTTGAAAATTCCTTGCAAAGCATTTCATTAGAGGATCCAAATATAATATTATCCACATAAATTTGAACAATTAAAAAATCTTTACCTTTTTTTTAATGAATGAGGTTGTATCAACTTTACCTTTCATGAAGTCATTCTGCAGAAGGAAGTTACTTAACCTCTCATACCAGGCACGGGGTGCTTGTTTCAGACCATAGAGTGTCTTTTTTAGCTTGAAAACATAGTTAGACTTTTTTCGTTCTTCAAAGCCGGGGGGTTGTTCTGCATATACCTCTTCTTTGATGTAACCATTTAGGAATGCACTTTTTACGTCCATCTGAAATAATTTAAAGTTATAAAAACAAGCATAAGCTAAAAGTAGCCTTATAGCTTCTAAGCTGGCAGCCAGTGCATAGGTTTAATCATAGTCTATACCTTCTTCTTGTGAATATCCTTTTGCTACAAGCCTTGCTTTGTTTCTTGTCACTTTTCTTTTGCCATCCAGTTTGTTTCTGAATACCTATCTAGTTCCAATTACTGGACGATTCTTGAGTCTTGGCACAAGTTCTCATACTTCATTGATTCTGAATTGATGAAGTTCTTCCTGCATTGTTTCTATTCGGCTTTTGTCTGTAAGTGCTTCATCAATTCCTTTTGGTTTTATCTCTGATATCAATGCCAATGTGCTGATGTTTTCCTTGTGTTTAGATCTAGTCTTGATGCCATCTTCTATTTCTCCAATAATGAGATCTTTTCGATGACTGGATTTATGTTTCCAGTTTCTGTTGAATCTTTCCTTCTGAACACCATCATATTCTGAAGATTATGTTTGTGTAATTAATGAATCTTCCTTTCTTTCTTCAATAGGTTCAATGATTTTTGGAGATTCTTGTTGAGCTTCAAACATCTCTTGAACATTGTGAGATGGTTCAGATTCATCCTTTTGAGTCTGAACATTTTCATAAAATCTCACGTTCATTGTTTCTTCCACAGTCTGAGAGTTTTTGTTGAAAACTCTGTATGTCTTGCTTGCTGTGGAGTATCCAAAGAAAAATCTTTCATCTGCTTTCTTATCAAACTTTCCGGAGCGATCATTTGGATTTTTGAGTATAAAGCATTTACAACCAAACACACGAAAATATGAAATGTTGGGTTTTCTACCTTTGTAAAGCTTATATGGGGGTTCCATCAAGAATGAGTCAAAGAAAAACTGTATTGATAATATAACAAGCTGTAGAAACTGCTTCTACCCAAAAAAGATAAAGAATCTTGCTTTCAATCAAAAGAGTTCTTGTTATTTCTTGCAAAGAATGATTTTT